ATCTCTGACAAAAAGAAGTTATATATACTTTTACTTTAGGTCAGGTTATTTTTGAGGCCATATATTAGACGTGGTTTTGGTCCACCCTTCAAATAAAGTAACAACACAAGTTGAAGTGGGAATGCCGATACTTAGATTTTGCGGCAATAGAGATACTCCCTCTGTCATAAAATAAATTTATAATATAAATTATAAGAGAGGATACAAAAGACATATATATCCTTACTTCATTTATTAATCAGACGCTATCATCAACCTGATTAATGCAGATTGATTGATATATGTCAAGTAACGATATAGTGCCTACCAAATTTGTGCTAATACTTAATGCAAAACTATCTCATTATCCCTAAAATCTATTTTATACATTTGGATAAAAATTTTGAATGCTTGAATGCACTATATTATAGGAAGAAGGAAATATACACGAAGCATGGTTGATTATCTTTTATATGATTGGCGCTAAGCTATATATATCAGTAGCTAGTTGTCTGCCTTTAGATTTGTCTTGCTCTATCAAAGTTCTTTTTGAATAGTTACAGATTGAACTTGAAATAAGGAATGATCAAGTGTTCAAATCAGAACAAAATTCCTTTTTTAAAAAAAAATATGTTCATCCATACATTACAATAAAATGAAAAATAAAACCTCCTCTTTATGGAAAGAAAACCAATGCATTGGAAGAGTCTTGAACGGCCAAGTGGTGCAGAGCGGCTTGGGCCCACCTGCTATTATTGGGTGCGAATATACATGGTTAAATGGGTTGTCGGCATGGCACGGGTCTAGCCAAGGCAGGATTGACTCATCGGGTCATGCCGTGGCCACCCATGGTCTGCACCAATGCTATCGACATGTTCGGTTGGCTGGATCGTTTCGTTGTTGGTTTGTGAAGAAGTACTGTTGGCTGGTTTGTGTGAGAGAAAAATATCATTCCAGCTGAAAATTTGCGATCGTTTACGACAAGCCACAGTCAAACGACCAGGCCCTATAAGGCTTCGGCTGTGCCGAGCCGGCCCGTCGGCACACCAAGGCCGCACAGGCTCTATCGTATCTTTGTTCCTGTTTTCTAAATTAATCTAGGCCATTAGAATATTAGATGGCCATAACATTCAACAGTACGGTGTTGGCAGAATCTTTGTGAGAAGAAATAGAGATAGGGTTAGAGAGTAAGACTGTGTTAGGAAGTTGTCGGATTCACCTCAATCAGCATGTGTTGGGATAGATCGAAGGTATTAGAATGGACTTTAGTTCAAATTCCACTCAAATCCAACCGAACAAACGTGGATTGATATCAATTCCACTACATCCGTAAGCATAGCTTAACTAATCACGCCCTTACTACGTACAGTCTGTGGGTGGCCGCCGTCCAGTACAGTGTTCGAAAATCCGTGATCCACTGGAAGAAACAAAAGAAGAACCACCAATATCTTTGGGCCAAAGGAAGAGCACTAGCCAATGGCCATCGCGCTCCACCATCCAAGACGATCAAGAGCCAAGAGGAGAAAGAAAGAAAGAAACAAAATTAAAGCTAGTACTAGTAGGAGTAGCAGCAAACTAAAAGCAGGTGGAGTAACTGTGAAGCATTAGTATATATACCTGTGACGAGCATATCCATGGAAGATGCCGCCGGAGCAGATGCACCCATATCTTCGTTTTCCTGCTAGCAGAGCAGCAGCTCTGATCCCCGTGTCTATCTCTGTCTCGTCCCCAAATAAATTCTCCCAGCTATAAATTGTGTGTGCACGCCTCACTCTGGATCTCGGATCATCCCCCAGAGCGAGTAGCTAGGCATGATGAATGGGTCCCTGAAGTCCTGAACCTGAATTCCTGTCATATATACATGGAGGTGGTAGCCGCCGCCGCCGTGGTGTTCCCATGATCCGCTTGGTCATCAGGGTTGTCTAGAACTCAAGCAGCAGCAGGAGGATCAGTGCTCTGGATCCATATCGTCGCCGTCGCCGTCAATGCATCGACCATGCCGGGCAGACCGAGGGAGCTGCTGTGGCGTCGCCGGCGTCACGCCACGCGTGATGCTGTCTTCCTGCTCCGGTCTTCGATTCTTCCCCGGAACCGGAACCGGAACCGGAACCGAAGCTAGCGAGCAGTGCGAGGTCGGCGAGCGAGGGCGGGAGCAGGCGGCGTCTGATCGGATCCTCCATTATCTGCAGGGCAAGTTGAATCCTTTGGCATGTAGTACTACTGATGATGTACACGATCGATGATACCTAACTCTTCCATCCATCATCCGATTCCTGAATCCTGATCCTACACACTGTGTGTTTTGGCTTCTGGATAGACGACAGAACGAAAGATATGATGCACTGGTGCATTTTAGACGACGGCGTAAATCTTGTAAAACTTGTCGGTCTCCGGACCGTTCATCAAGTGTTACTAGTCTGAATTAGTACTACGTCCTTTACTTTACCGGTAAACTGAAGTATGAATTATATATCCAGCTATTTCCCTCCTACAGAATCCAGCGATTTTCATATTCAGGTTCGGTGGACGTGTTTGCTTCTCAACCTGAAGAATGCCCCTGGTCAAGTACCTCCCTCCCTGGGCGCAGCTCCTCAAACATGCATCTCCTCGATCAATGACAGTGGTCACCATCGTAACAAGTACTCCTGTCGATCTAAGTGTGTCAGTCTGAAACTCTGAATCCTGGTTGCTGCTCCTGCCTCCTGCTCGTGTGTTTAGCGCGTGTTTAGTTCCAAAATAACTTCCCAAAAAGTGCTACAATGTACATCACATCGAATCTTGCGATATGTATATGGAGCATTAAATGTAGACGAAAAAAAACTAATTACACAGTTTGGTGGGAAACTACGAGGCGTTTTTAGCCTAATTAATCCATGATTGAACACTAATTACTAAATAAAAACGAAAGTACTACGGTAGCCAAATTCCAAAATTCCCTCCTACTAAACACGCCCTTGCTGCATGCACACACTTTGACCTGTCAGTTTAGGCCTATCGGAGCAGCTCGTTTTCAGTGCCCAAGTTTAGGCCAAGCAGCAGTTAATGCATGATGAGATGAGGCCGGCGGAGTCCGGAGAGAGACGGTTATAACCGACAAAACGAACTGGCACAAGAACTGCGCCCATCCAGAACAGAACAGAACAGAACAGACGGTTACTCCTGCCCGCCAGAATCTTTGACCTGCCATGCACAGCACTCCTACAGCTAGCGGTTGCATGCAGTAGTCCGGCCGCCAGAATCTTTCTTTGCAGGGAGGACACGTACTATCCTATAACAAGAGGTGTCAAATCATATCAGGAAGCTGCTCAAAGACACGTATCGCTTGTTTAGTTCAAAATTTTTTCCAAAAAATGCTACAGTAATCATCATATCGAATCTTACGATACGTGCATGGAGTATTAAATATAGATGAAAAAAACTAATTGCACAGTTTGGTTGGAAATTGCGAGACGAACGTTTTGAGCCTAATTAGTCCATGATTGAACACTAATTACTAAATAAAAACAAAAGTACTACGGTAGCCAAATTTCCAAAATTCGCGAAGTAAACACAGTCGTAGTACCATTCAGAATTTTTGCATTTGCGCATCCTCGCTACGGAGTAGTCGCTAGCAGTGGAGTTGCGCGCGGCTACAGCAGTTTTTGTTGTTCCATTGTCACAAAAACATTCCTACTATGAAAATTAAATAAAAATAACATCTTTGCTTCCTACAGTTGTACTTAATTGCTCTTCTGACTTTGTTTTTTCTTCTCTCGAATACGCAAAAGATTTATGTATCATTGTATCAAGGAGAAGAGTTTAAAGAAACATACAACGCGCTTCACTCTTCTGACTTTGTTACCTCCGCTGGCTGGTTTGGGCTGGCTGAAACCAACAAGCGAACAGGGTGAATGTTATTGCAATATTGCTTATTACCATAACCATCCAATCAATTAAAAATAAGGATGTACTAGATGGAAATATATTCAGCCCGTGTTTAGTTGGGGGAAAGTTGAAATTTGGCTACTATAGCACTTTCGTTTTTATTTGACAATTAGTGTTCAATCATGGACTAATTAGGCTCAAAACGTTCGTCTCGTCATTTCCAACTAAACTGTGCAATTAGTTTTTTTTTCGTCTACATTTAATGCTTCATGCACGTATCGTAAGATTCGATGTGATGACTACTGTAGCATTTTTTGGAAAAAGTTTTTGGAACTAAACGCGCGCTCAATATATATACTTCGATGCACCAGGACACTACTGTCCATAGAGGACCAAGAGGTTTAATGCAAACTCATGTCTCTGTCTCTCTCTTTTTCTACTCCCACCGTGTATAATTCACCACCACAATGTTGAGAGTTGTGCCTTGCTATTTTATTGTAGGCTCAATCCAAGTAACAAATAAATAGACAATGAATTTGCTGTAACAAATGCAAATTTGGTACAACTTCTCAACCAGTGAGGGTGTACAAGTACACAGCACACTGTCCAGGTCAATACCATGCTGCCCAAGTAAGAAATTCAACAGAAAAAAAATCATATCATACATACTCATTAGTCATTTGACAGCACATTCCAATTCCAAAATGTATTAGTACTACATACTCCTACACAACACAAATTCCAATTCTGAGCCACTCCAACAATGTCCACAGAAGATCACAGCCACTGAACCAATGCGTAATTCACGAAACAACGAGGTGTTCCATGCAAATCACTCTCTAGTGTCTCCATTCTCCGTGTCTCCTTTTTTAACATAAAAACCCATCACCTCCTACTAATTTACGATCCCACCACCACCCTCGCCTCGCTCTCCTTCCCCATCTTCTTCTTCCAAAAAAACCCATTCCCAAACACGGATTAGGGCTTGACCACCCACGCCCGGCGCCCCCCGCAGGGCCGTCTCCGGCGGCGATCCGGCTTCGCGCGGGCCCGGACGACCTAGATCTGCCGCCGACGCATGAGGGAGCCCCGAATCGGCCAGATCTAGAAGCTCCCGGACCCGCTCCTCCCCCCAGGGGACCCCCGGGCCTGCCACTATGCAGCCCAGCGGGGGGCCCTCCGGCAGCTCCCCGGGGCTCGCCGGCGTCGTCGCCGCACCCGGACCAGCAGCAGCAGCAGCCGCCGACCCCGGCGTCCGCCCAGCAGCTAGGGTTTAGAGGCCAGGTAGGCCTTGCCTTGTCTGCCCCACACCCCGGCTTTGGGTTCTGGATTCGAATTTATTTTGGTGGTGGTGGTGTGTGTGTGTGTGTGTGTGTTTTGCACTTGGGGCCAACGCGATTGGTGGGAAACCGTGCGCGCCTTGGGATTCGCGAAAAAGGCGGCGTGTTTACGTGGACTTCCGCTAACGGTAGTCTTCTCCCCCCAGTGGAGGGAGGGAGGGAGGAGTGTCAGTGCCTTTGGTTGTCTTGTCTTGCTCCCCTGCTGTTCTTCGCCTGGTCGGAATTTCATTAATTTAGTATTGCACATGTGTTGTGTGTGGCGCGCGAGATTTCGTCTTGCCCCGGTTTCAATTCGGAGTTGCTGTCTGACCCTGACTGTGTCTCAATTTGGTTTTGGTTTTTCTCAAGAGTGATTTGGATTTGGATAAGCTCTGTTCTTTAGTATGGCCGATGCGGATTTTTGCTTTGCTTTTAGGAATCCGACCCCTTCGATCGTTTTCGTTTTCTCGGCTTGCAGTCGATATGCCCCTCTAGTATGGGTTTTGTTGTTTCTGGTTCTGGTGATGGTGAGTTTCTAGACTTCTGATGAACGGATCACCTTGTGCTGCAGGGAATGATGCATCACCATGAACAGCAGCAAGCCTTCCAATCTGGTGCGCCGCATGCCATGATGGGACCAGGGGGCGTGAGCTTCCCTCAGTCAACCGGTCCAGTGTCACCGTTCCAGGGTCAGAGGAACCTGCCAATGTCAGGTGGACCGCAGGGCATGGTTGGAGGTCAGGTGCACAACCAGGTTGCAATGCAGCAACAGTTCCTGAAGCTTGCGATGCAGCAGCAGCAGCAGAAGGCAGCCCAGGGATGCTCCTCCAGCAGCAGGCCAAAATGAATATGGCGGGTTCATCCTCAAGAGATCAGGACATGCTTAACAACCCCACCAAGATGCAGGAGCTTATGGCCCTTCACCAGGCCCAGGCCCAGGCTCAGGCCCAGATGTATAAGCGGCAGTGTGAGCAGAAAGAGCAGGGGCAATCAAGCAGTAGTGAGCAAAGAAGTGGTGATATGAGGCCTCCTATGCCTCCTCAAGGAGTCCCTGGACAGCAGTTGCCACCAATGGGTATGATCAGGCCCATGCAGCCAATGCAAGGCCAGGTGGGCATGGGGGCAGCGCCGGTGGCGGCCCGATAACACCAGCGCAGTTTCAAGCCATCCAAGCCTGGGCAAAAGAGAACAACTTTGACCTGTCCAATCCTGCAAACATGAGTGCAATTTCTCAATTCCTGCCGATCTGGCAGAACAACAGGATGGCAGCCATGCAGAAGCAGAACGAGGCAAACATGGCTGCGCAGCAGCAGCAAGCAATGCCCTCTCAGGTGAACAGTGATACCCCAGGGCATGGTAACGCTCCAAGCCAGGGTGCCCTACTGAAGCCCCGGCAACCCCTTCCTCCGAGCTCAGTTTCTGGTGGGGAAGAGGCTAAGGTGGTGAATTCGAGCAACTTGCAGTTGCAACAGCAGTTATCTGTGCACAACAGGGATGGTTCAAATGAAAGGGCTGTGAGGTCACCTATGACAGGGGGCAATGGTGCGCAAACGATGCATATCCCCCAAAGTTCTGGACATGTGAGTAAGGTTCCTGAGCAATCCAATCCAAAAAATGTGCTTGCAAATTCAGATGCAATGCAGATGCAGCATGTCAGACAGATGCAACAGCTTAACCAGGTTGCTGCACCCACATCTACCCCTGGTGAAGCAGGAGGATCACAGGTCTCAACTCCAAGTGCTCGGCCACAAACAGGGCAAACGGGTTTCACCAAAAATCAACTTCATGTACTCAAGGCTCAGATATTAGCTTTCCGGCGTTTAAAGGTATAAGAAAGACAAACCTTAAAGTCTTTTTTGTTTTCTTTCAAGGTACTAAACCGTAATTTTAGGTTCAAGCTGATCAATCTAATGTTGATGTGTCCTTTTTCCTCCTTTGGTTGCATATCTTGGTATCAGCGTGGTGATCGACTCCCGCCTGAAGTTCTTGAATTAATTGTATCTGGTCGCCCTCCTGATTCACAAGGAGGACCGCAGCAAGTTTCAGGACCCCAGGCAACAAATAATCGTGAAAAGCCTGGTGTAAGCAATGCTGATGAACATGGAAGGCAGATGGAGAGTGGTGACAAAGCTCCCGAAAAACCTGCATTGTTGAAGGGACCCTGTTTACCAAAGGTGGAGGTTTCTGCTTCAGAAGACAAATCTAGTCCTGCCAGTGGTCCTGGTCCCATGCAAGTGATGAAAGCTTCACCAAAAGAGCCTCTTAAAATTGGACCAGTTTCTGTACCAGAGCATAGTAACACTACTGTGATTAAATCTGAGCAGGATCTGGAACGGAGTATCCAGAGAACACCTGGGAGAAGTGATTACAATGCTGAGAGGGGTAAATCTGTACCAGCAGAAAGTGGTTCAGCGGATGCTGAGCAGGCAAAAAGGACTGGCTCCACAAGCAGTGCCCCAGCTCCAAGAGATGTTCCCAGAAAATACCATGGCCCATTATTCGATTTCCCGTCCTTCACTAGGAGACACGATTCGATGGGACCTGCAAATTACAACAGCAATCTGTCACTAGGTTATGATGTGAAAGATTTATTAGCTCAGGAGGGGATGATAGTTCTTGGTAAGAAACGTGAGGATAACTTAAAAAAGATAAGCGGTTTGCTTGCAATTAATCTAGAGAGGAAAAGAATCCGACCTGATCTTGTCTTGAGGCTACAGATTGAAGAAAAGAAACTCAAACTCCTAGAGCATCAGGCTCGTCTAAGGGATGAAGTTGAGCATGAACAACAAGAAATTATGGCAATGCCAGATAGGATATACAGAAAATTTGTCAGACAATGCGAACGCCAACGTGTTGAGCTTGTAAGGCAAGTTCAGCAGATGCAGAGAGCTTCAAGAGAAAAGCAGCTGAAATCCATTTTCCAGTGGCGCAAGAAGCTTTTGGAGGCACATTGGGCCATTCGTGATGCTCGAATAACTCAGAATCGAGGGGTGGCCAAGTACCATGAAAGGATGTTGAGAGAATTCTCAAAGAAGAAAGATGATGATCGGAACAAAAGAATGGAGGCATTGAAAAACAATGATGTGGAAAGATACCGTCAAATATTGTTGGAACAGCAGACTAGTGTTCCTGGGGATGCAGCTCAAAGATACAATGTCCTATCTTCTTTCTTGACCCAGACTGAAGAGTACCTTTATAAACTAGGAGGAAAAATAACTGCTGCCAAGAGTCAGCAACAAGTAGAAGAGGCAGCAAATGCTGCTGCAGCAGCTGCACGGGCACAGGTATTTTGACACTCTTTGCTTGAGGCAGTGAAACTGGCATGTCCCCAGCCCTCTTCCTTTTTGGGTTCATAGCATTGGACACGGAGGTTTCTGTAGATTGTAGCTCAAATATTCATTGTTTTACATTACGAGTTCATTGTTGCTGCATGTAACCAGGTTTCTTCTTTCTAGTCCTGTATATGAACATGCTGCTTGTTTAACAGGGCCTGTCTGAGGAAGAAGTGAAGGCTGCTGCACAATGTGCTGGTCAGGAGGTTATGATAAGGAACACATTCTCTGAGATGAATGCGCCAAGGGATAATACATCTGTTAACAAGTAAGAAAGTGACTAAATTGGAAATGTAGTTGTATTGGAATTTTTTTCTGTCGCTATTTTGTTTACTTTAGAGTTCAGATATGCACCTGGAGTAAATTTTAGTTGCATTTTTGGAGTCATTTTTTTTTTCATTTGACATTTGAGGTAGGGTTTGTCAGATCAACAGAGGTTTCGAATAATGCTCCTCACCCTTAATAAGGTAAAATCTTGCATACTTTCAGGTACTATAGTTTAGCCCATGCTGTAAGTGAGAGAGTTACGAAGCAGCCGTCACTGTTGCGAGCAGGAACTTTAAGGGACTACCAACTGGTAGGATATCTGCTTTTAACTGAAGTAATATATGTATTCATTTTCAATGTAGTTTTGTCCTGTCATAGGAGATCTTACAATTCATTTTGTTGGTTATGCAGGTGGGCCTACAGTGGATGCTTTCTTTGTACAATAATAAGTTGAATGGCATTTTGGCTGATGAGATGGGTCTTGGCAAGACTGTACAGGTCATCCCTTGCTTATTCTTGTTTGCTTGCTGCACTCCTGTTATTCACGATATTTTTCTTATCATAAATGCTTCCTCTTTTCATTCGATCCAATGGCTAGGAACTTATTTGTATGTCTATTCTATTTGTTATAATAGGTCATGGCATTGATTGCGTACCTGATGGAATTTAAAGGGAATTATGGCCCTCATCTCATAATAGTGCCAAATGCTGTCTTGGTCAATTGGAAGGTGCATCTTCTGTGTCCTTCATGCATTGAGTTTTTTTTTAAGTTTTCCTTTTTTTTTTGGTAAGATATTTGTTACCGAAACTCATATTTTTTGCTGACTCTTTCAGAGCGAACTGCTAAATTGGTTACCATCTGCATCTTGCATCTTTTATGTTGGTGCAAAGGACCAAAGGCAGAAGTTATTCTCTCAAGTAAGCTGCTTTTTCTTTGGGTATTTTTTCATATGTTAGGCCTTATAATTTCTTATTTTAGCAATAAAAATTTCCTGATACATTTGTTGTGAATAAACACAAACATTCCTGATTACTCAAGACCAGCCATCCTAATCTGAAAATATTCTATAAGGGGAAGGCTTATAACCATGCACTCTCTGATTTTGAAGGAACCATCTGCTTATAACTAGTACCGGTAACTTTATTTTGCATGCAATGCCTGTCTTTTGTTGGATTTTTTTTCATGCCAATTGTATGTCCTAAATAAAAAAATAAAAAAATGCATCAGCAAACACGCTCTAAAACTGTTTGGAATAGATTAAATTGCGCTGTACACAGTGCTATTTTGATTTTCTAGATCAGTCTACATAATTTCCTGTACAGGTACAGTTTTTGTGCAGCATAGGGTAGTGTTTTCTTAGTTGAATGGCTGCTCTTATCATAGATCCCTGTTTGGCTGTTTATCTCTTGACTGAAATTAATGCTTACCACATTTTTGTTATTTTGCATGGCTAAGCTATCTGGTAGCATACCTGTTGATGTTCTTCATTTAGCTCTTGTAGACATTTTTCTTATATCTTTTTATTGACTTGTCTTGCAGGAGGTTATGGCCATGAAATTTAATGTTCTTGTAACAACATATGAATTTGTTATGTTTGATCGTTCCAAGCTTTCAAGGGTTGATTGGAAGTACATTATAATCGACGAGGCACAGCGGATGAAGGACAGAGACTCCGTCCTGGCACGTGATCTTGATCGCTATCGCTGCCAGCGGCGCCTCCTTCTCACCGGTACTCCTCTACAGGTAAACTAAATAAGTGTATATTGCTACTGTTGCCAGTATTGCTTTACTGTCTTGAAGCAGCCTTTTTTTTTTTCTGTGGTGCCAGGATCCCTTGTCTCTCTCTTTTCTTTTTTGACAGTATAGCCAATTTATCATGTCAGTATTGCACCCTTTTTTGTCGTCGATAGTGTAGTTATTTGATGCTTTTGGAAATTGATTACAGAATGATCTCAAGGAGCTTTGGTCCCTCTTGAATTTGTTGCTTCCAGAAGTATTTGACAGTAGCAAGGCATTTTCAGATTGGTTCTCTAAGCCTTTTCAGAGGGATGGTACTACACATAGTGAAGAAGAAGATGATTGGCTTGAGACAGAGAAGAAAGTAATAATAATTCACAGGCTGCATCAGATTTTGGAACCTTTCATGCTACGAGGCGTGTGGAAGATGTTGAAGGATCACTTCCACGGAAGGTGCTATCCTTTTCTCCCTTGTCTCATTGGTTAATTTGTTTGGTAACTTCATAACATTATTAATCCGCCATGTTGTTGTAGGATTCCATTGTTTTGAGATGCAGAATGTCTGCCGTTCAAGGAGCTATATATGATTGGATCAAGTCTACTGGTACCATTAGAGTTGATCCTGAAGATGAGAAAAGGCGTGCACAACGGAATCCCATGTACCAGGTCAAGACTTACAAGAATCTCAACAACAAGTGCATGGAGCTAAGGAAAGTTTGTAATCATCCTCTGCTGACATATCCATTCTTAAATCATGGGAAAGATTTTATGATCAGATCTTGTGGGAAGTTGTGGAATCTTGATAGAATTTTAATTAAGCTTCACAAGGCAGGTCATCGCGTACTCCTTTTTAGCACCATGACAAAGCTTCTTGACATCATGGAGGACTATTTGCAGTGGAGACGACTTGTTTATAGGCGAATTGATGGAACAACAAGCTTGGAAGATCGAGAGTCGGCAATTGTTGACTTCAACAGGCCTGGTTCTGATTGTTTTATATTCTTGCTTAGTATTCGTGCTGCTGGTAGGGGTCTGAATCTTCAGAGTGCAGACACTGTTGTAATATATGATCCTGATCCAAATCCACAAAATGAGGAGCAAGCAGTTGCTAGGGCCCATCGTATAGGGCAGACTAGGGAGGTAAAGGTTATTTACATGGAAGCTGTTGTTGATAACATATCAAGTTATCAGAAAGAGGATGAATTGAGAAATGGAGGGAGTGCAGATTTGGAGGATGATCTTGCTGGAAAAGACAGATACATGGGATCAATTGAAAGTCTCATCCGCAACAATATCCAACAATACAAAATTGATATGGCAGATGAGGTCATTAATGCTGGTCGTTTTGATCAAAGAACAACCCATGAGGAAAGGCGGATGACTCTGGAGACACTCCTGCATGATGAAGAGAGATATCAAGATTCTCTTCATGATGTTCCTTCATTACAGGAAGTAAACCGTATGATTGCTAGGACTGAAAGTGAAGTCGAGCTTTTTGATCAGATGGATGAAGACTTTGATTGGACAGGTGATATGACAAAGCATCATCAGGTTCCAAAGTGGCTTCGTGTTAACTCCACTGAAGTAGATGCTGTGGTGGCGAGTCTGTCCAAAAAGCCGTCAAGAAATATGTCATCTGGGGGAATTGCTTTAGACACTAATGATACACCTGAGAAAAGAAGGGGACGGCCAAAGGGTACTGGCAAGTACTCCATCTACAGGGAGATCGATGATGAAGATCTTGAAGAATCTGATGAAGATTCTGAGGAGAGGAATACTGCATCCCTACCTGAAGAAGGGGAAGTAGGGGAATTCGAAGATGAAGAGGACAATGATGATTCGATACCTGATAACAAGGATGAATCAGAGGAAGAAGAGCCTGTGAATGATGATGTATATGAATTTACTGAAGGACTAAGAAGCAGAAAAGCTAATAGGATGGAAGAAGCAGGTTCAACAGGCTCTTCTTCTGGAAGCAGGAGATTACCACCACCTGTACCTTCCTCATCTTCTAAAAAATTGCGGTCTCTATCTGCATTAGATGCCCGCCCTGGCTCTTTGTCAAAGAGAACTGTATGTGTTGACACATTGTTGTTATTTATCTGTTTTGTTTTTTCACTTGAATTTCTGTGTCAGTTGACTATATCATCAAGCATTTAACTGGTGATTTGCAGCCGGATGACCTAGAGGAAGGTGAGATTGCAATGTCTGGGGACTCACATATGGACCTCCAGCAGTCAGGGAGCTGGAATCATGAACGTGATGACGGTGAGGATGAACAGGTACTGCAACCAAAAATAAAACGCAAGCGAAGTATTCGTCTTCGTCCAAAACCTAATGCAGAAAAGCAGGAAGATAGATCTGGAGAAGGGGTCTTCCCTCAGCATGGTACGCATCTTGCATTTCAAGGAGATGGTCATTATGATTCACAATTTAAGTCTAACCTAGATGCCCGTGCTTTTACATGTCCAGCTGCCAGGCAGCAAGATGCAGTTCATCCTATAGTGAAACAGAAGCGCAACATGCCATCTAGGAAGGTTTCACCAGCTTCTAGGTCGGGAAAATTGACTTACTTGTCTGGGTCTGGTGAGGGATCTGCTGAACGCTCCAAGGAAAATTGGAACAGTAAGGCCATTGATTCCGCCACCCCTGAGTTCCGTGGCACAAAGATGTCTGACAGTATGCAAAGAAAGGTAGGCACACAAACTTATGCTCTTTGTGCCCTAATTTATTTAGTGCGACTTGTAATATTTACTTCGCTTCAAAAACAAAAGGATTTGAACGGGAAATCTGGAGCAGTTCTTTGTAGAATTGAAACCCTTTATCATCTGAAAGCACAATTATCGCAAAAAAATTAGTTTCAGTCACTACTTATGCCATGTATTGTCAATATCTTGATTGTATTTATTGCAAGCTAAGTTTTTCACATTATGTTGTGGCTTGTTATATTCCTTTGGCATGCCATATTTTTTTTATATCAATGTTGTCTTCTCTGGTATTCTTTTGTTCCTTTGGCTTGTCGTATGGCTGAACTAAGGCTCTCTTGACTTGAATACCTGCAGTGCAAAAATGTGATAAGCAAGCTTTGGAGGAGGATTGACAAAGAAGGTCATCAAATCATACCTAATATATCTTCTTGGTGGCGGAGGAATGAAAATTCCTCATTCAGAGGTCTGGCTAGTAGCACCCTGGACCTACAAAAAATTGAACAGCGAGTTGATGGATTCGAGTATGGTGCTGTAACTGAGTTCATAGCGGACATGCAACAGATGTTGAAAAGTGTGGTTCAGCACTTCAGCTATAGGCATGAGGTAGCCCTACATCAAACATTGTATCTTTGTTACATCTATTTTGTATCACCATTATGCTTCTACCTGTAATGGAACTCGAGGTTCATGTGTTAGCCTTAGAATATTAATCTATTCCATCTGCCTAAATGATGCAGGTCCGGATAGAGGCTGAGACCCTCCATAACTTATTTTTCAACATAATGAAGATTGCCTTCCCAGATTCAGACTTCAGCGAAGCTAAGAATGCGACGTCATTTTCGAATCCTGGAGGAGCTGCAAGTGGTGCTGCTGCCCCATCGTCAAAGCACACCGCATCAGTCCATAAGCGCAGAGCCAGTGCCAGTGAAGCAGAGCAGCATGGCTCGGGACATAGCAGGCATAATCAATCCAGCGAGGTCCCCAGCCGGCCCCACAGTTCCAGATCAGAGAGAGACCCCAGACATTCTGGGTCCGCAGCAGGAACAGCTCCAGGATGGTGCTGGTTTGTTGCACCCTAGCGATATGTTCATTGTTAAGAAGAAAAGGCAAGATCGGGCAAGGAGCAGCATTGGGTCCCCTCTAGTTCAGGCCGAGCTGGACCTCTCTCGCCAGCCAACCCTGGGCGGCCAGGCCCAGTCCCTCACCCAGAGGTGCGAGAACGCCGTTCAAAGGGATCCACACCCATCTCAGCAGTCGATGCATTCTGCTGGATGGGGCGCGATTCGGATCAAGGAGGAAGTTCGTCTGCACCGGCATTGGAGACATCCAGTGGGCAAAGCCTGCCAAGAGACTGAGGACTGACACGGCAAGAGGCGGCCGAGCCTAATGTGAGGATTCTTTGCATTGCGGTGTACATTCTCTGGCAACCTTGATTTGCCTGGCCTATGAAATGCGCGCTGCACTGGTGGGGGCTTATATTCGTGTCATTTTGGCACAACTGAGTTCGTTCTTGCATATATGAGCACCTACATGCTGGGGTTTTTGTTGTTGTGGACATGAAAAAAAAGGGGGGGTGTAGGGTTATTGTTCTTGTATGTTATTAGCTTCATAAATGTGTAAAGGGGAACTCTTATGTTGGTAGGTGGTGCAAACAACTAGAAAATGCATCCACGTAGCAATGAAGGCATTGGCGCAGCCGGCCTTGATAATAATTAGTTTATTTGTTCCCACATGTTTACCGTTCTTGCAGTCTGGGCGTGTGCATTTGAGTGAATCGTGTGCTTGTTTACACCGACCATCGTGCTCTGGGATTCCAATCTCCTGTTAACGGCCATGGCGTCAAGTTTTACCTCATTGTGTAGTGCCGGCACTTGGCCGATTAGTGGTCTGGTGACTGAAGAAAAGGAATGGTGTGCATCAGTTGCCGTATTGACATCATGATGCTTTCCAATCATCCAGTGCTGACGGGGTTACAGTGCTGGTACACGACATTTGGAGCACTGATGGATAGGAATTGGGGTTACTCTTTTCTGTCTCAAAAAGAATGTACATCTCATCTTGCATTTGAAGTACTCAAATTTTTTTTCGTCCCAAAAAAAATGTACAGCTCATATTTCGAGGAGTTTTTTTTAGAAAAATAATATTAGATTTGTAAAAATAGTATATCACCAAAAAATAATGTATATCTCACCGTTAAAAATAGTATCAAAACTGATTCAGTGGTAGAATACGGTAGTTTTATAGGTGGGGAAGGTGGGGGGCGAAGGCAGGCGATCTACCGAATTGAATTATTGTACACGGGGCCGACTTTTTTCCTTGATCCATTCCAATTTCCAGTTATTAATATAACCAATATGTAGCTCATGCATGCATCCATCCATCTTTTGCAGCGATGCAACGGCCAGAAACGAAATGATATAGTACTAGCTATTAATAACCAAAGTCACAGCTGACGAGTGCACACGCTTTGCATAAACTCGACGACACAAATTGCAAACTCGATCAGCGCTTCAAATCAAATACATACATATGCATGCATGTCAACGACGACGATGCGTCGATGACGACCGATCGAGACGACATTGTTAAGAATATCCAATAGGATCACATAACCGTAATATCTGGTTGATTGATATCTCCTGAAGATTGGTTGTGCGCTCAGGCTTGGATTGCGGGTGAAGGCAAGTATTACGGCTTCGGTTAGATAGGATATGTATCTCCTGATTGATGTAATCTTGTGATGTAATCTAGAGTTACCAAAAGTAGTTAGCTTCTTCTTGTTGTACAAGTTGTACCGCCACGCCAGGAGCTCTTCCTGGCTATATTAACATGAAGCCGTTCCAACCATTTTCACAGACATCAGAGGATGGATGCACAATAAATAGTTGCATACGCATCTTGTGTTCACTACTGCGTGTGAACAATCGGCCGGAGGGACGACAACAAATCGACATATATTCTCCAACTTGCATTTTTGTGTTTGCATTGATTGTGAAAAATCGATCGGGAGCGACGACGACATCATGTCTAAGGGGGTGGGGTCAATTAAACGAATGCAGAAGTCGTTTATTTGCAGCTCTGCTGGCTCTTGCAGTTTTTTACAGCCAGACGTGATGGTAATCGTGCTCCATATGCTGACGACGACGACCATCAGCACTACGTTCGGTCTACGGATGATAGCGACACAAACACCAGAGGAGGGCCGGGGACGACCCCACACACAGGAAGGAAAACCACTGAAAGTTTTAAAACTTTACGTTGAATTTTGAGTAAAGATTGAAAATCCGTACGAATCTCATCCGGCCGGTTAAAAACGAAATTACCGATGTGGATATTTACCGGATGGAGATCACCGGTAGGATCGAAAACCATCGCGAAATTCCAAACTATGTCATGGCTTGCTCGATCTGTAGCTGCCGACTTCCGTAGTCATGTGACCCTTTGAACTTATCAGGGTTGTCAAACGCCGTTTTATAAGATAAGCTAACTATATATGATGATCAATACTGTCGAAGTGCATGCACTATGTACTTACATAATTATATAGTGCTACTTCTCAATGATGATCCTTTCCTTGATTAATTCTTGGTTCGATCGTCTACAAATTAACAAGCTGTTGCTTTCAAGGCCATTTGACGATTGAACCAATTAATTAAAGATGTAATGCATGTTTCATAATTATCCTGTTTAGCAGCTGTTTGTGTTGTTACATATGCTACATCTATCCAAACTAGTTGGTCCAAGTTTCACAAACCTTCTTTTTCTAATGAAATTTTGCAAATAAACTTGGTTGACAGACAGGTGTACGTACGTATATGTACTTTTTCTTTACTTATTACAAGTTGGCAGTTGGCAGTAGTGTACAGTCTTGGTAAGTTGCCGACAGGCCCATAGTTTTATTTCTAGCGGCGCTCGCTCTTTTCGAACAGCCGGTGAAAGAAAAGTGTGGCGCCAAGAGAAAGCACCGATGTACTGGTGATTGCAGCTAGCTGGAGGAGCACCGATTTCATGATACTTTTAACACATACACACGGTAACTAATTTAGGAAACTGACAACTGATACAGACATATAAAATTGCATTATGCAGATACAGTATGTATGAATAATGAAACTTGTTGGGCATAGCAGCTAGCTAGCCAGTTTAAGTTTTTTGCCGATCGTCATCTTGAGTTGACCAGCAGTATGTATGGGCATTTTTTACTTTATTTCGCTTTGTCTGCTGCTGCTGGATTCTGGACGCCGCATCACCAAAAAGTCTAGCTACCAATAAGAAGATTCTGATCCTTGGGTGATCCCACGGGATAAGGCCAAGCCCACCAAGGTCATATTCCTCTTCCGGTGATGCGGCGACGAGGAATCCATTTCTTTCCTAACAATATACTACTAATCTCCAGGCATTCTCTCTGCTAATTATCTATGCCAGATAACGACTTCCCACATCTCTTTGATTTGCCTGTTCCAGTTCCAGCTTTCAACGTGTTTCCTCTTCCAGCAATCCAGCTAGCCAATCTTAGATTAACGCTGCACTGATGACTCCGTCAGATCCAATAATTGCCTTGTTAATTCAGCTCAGCTGAGCTTGAAGCTTATTGATATGACCCTTCATGTCCATGACCGGCACAGCAGCTTAATCTTTCTTTCTTTTTCGTTTTTCCTTTTCCCAGGCCAGGCTCGAGAGTGATCGAGATGCCCAAAATGTCAACCATGTACCCCACCCCAGCTCACTATAAATACGTACCCCAACGATGCTCATCCTCAACCTCAAGCACAAGCAGCTACCTAGCTCCAGTAAGCAACAACCAAACTGCTCTAGCTCTACTGCAGGATCAAAAGCACTAGCAATGGCGTCGGGCATGGAGGCCGTTGGCGCGCCTGGGAGCTCGCTGCACGGGATGACGGGTCGGGAGCCGGCGTTCGCCTTCTCCACGGCGGCGCCAGAGGAGCACGACGACGCTGTGGCGAGCAAGTTCGACCTGCCTGTGGACTCGGAGCACAAGGCGAAGAGCATCCGTCTCTTCTCGTTCGCGAACCCGCACATGCGCACCTTCCACCTCTCCTGGATCTCCTTCTTCACCTGCTTCGTCTCCACCTTCGCCGCGGCGCCCCTCGTCCCCATCATCCGCGACAACCTCAACCTCACCAAGGCCGACATCGGCAACGCCGGGGTGGCGTCAGTGTCGGGCTCCATCTTCTCCCGTCTCGCCATGGGCGCCGTCTGCGACCTGCTGGGCCCGCGCTACGGCTGCGCCTTCCTCATCATGCTGTCGGCGCCCACCGTGTTCTGCATGTCGCTCATCGACGACGCCGCGGGCTACATCGTCGTCCGGTTCCTCATCGGCTTCTCCCTCGCCACATTCGTCTCCTGCCAGTACTGGATGAGCACCATGTTCAGCAGCAAGATCATCGGCACCGTCAACGGGCTCGCCGCGGGCTGGGGCAACATGGGCGGCGGCGCCACGCAGCTCATCATGCCGCTGGTGTACGACGCCATCCGCAAGTGCGGCGCCACACCATTCACGGCGTGGCGGCTCGCCTACTTCGTCCCCGGGCTGATGCACGTCGTCATGGGCGTGCTGGTGCTCACGCTCGGACAGGACCTCCCCGATGGCAACCTCAGGACGCTGCAGAAGAAGGGCAACGTCAACAAGGACAAGTTCTCCAAGGTCATGTGGTACGCGGTCACCAACTACCGGACCTGGATCTTCGTCCTCCTCTACGGCTACAGCATGGGCGTCGAGCTCACCACCGACAACGTCATCGCCGAGTACATGTACGACCGCTTCGACCTCGACCTCCGCGTCGCCGGCACCATCGCCGCATGCTTCGGCATGGCCAACATCGTCGCGCGCCCCATGGGCGGCATCCTCTCCGACATGGGCGCGCGCTACTGGGGCATGCGCGCGCGCCTCTGGAACATCTGGATCCTCCAGACCGCCGGCGGCGCCTTCTGCCTCTGGCTCGGGCGCGCCAGCACCCTCCCCGTCTCCGTCGTCGCCATGGTGCTCTTCTCCTTCTGCGCGCAGGCGGCCTGTGGCGCCATGTTCGGCGTCATCCCCTTCGTCTCGCGGCGCTCCCTCGGCATCATCTCCGGCATGACCGGCGCCGGCGGCAACTTCGGCGCGGGGCTCACGCAGCTGCTCTTCTTCACCTCCTCCACCTACCCACCGCCAGGGGCTGGAGTACATGGGCATCATGATCATGGCGTGCACGCTGCCCGTGGTGTTCGTGCACTTCCCGCAGTGGGGGTCCATGTTCTTCCCGGCCAGCGCCACCGCCGACGAGGAGAGCTACTACGCCTCCGAGTGGAACGACGACGAGAAGAGCAAGGGACTCCACAGCGCCAGCCTCAAGTTCGCCGAG